CAAAAGTTATGCCTAATATGTACAATATTTCCTTAACATGCCTGCTTAGCTTTTTGAAGCTCCTTTTACTTTTTATTTATGCATATTCCGAGATAGTTTACTTTTTGAAAATTTCACGTAAAAATAAAATGATTCAAAAGAACTTTTGTGAATTCAATAAAAACTTAATGATTTATTGATTTAAAATGTTTTCAATATTATCATATTAGTCTTCTGGACTTATTTTTCATTCAGAATTCGTTTGTATTTTTTCTTTGCCATTTATTCAACAGTCTTTCTTTGAGCCTCGATCTTAGATATTGTAAGAGCGTTATATATAGAATGCCCCCCAATCTGAAAATAAATATATATATTCTCTAAATGTTTCATCTACTTTGGCTTTCAAATAAAATAGTGGTAATTCGCCAACTCAACAGCATTTATTATCACGTTTTTGCAGGAAAAATAATTGATAGGTTCCAAATATTATAGTTAAATTTGAATTGATGTCAAGAGACGTTTACGCTCGTAATCATAAAAGTCAGACTAGCTTGTTCCAACAAGTTCTGAAGAGATACTCGACATATTGCATATTAAAAGTCAGATTGCAAAGCCAACAATCGTATAACTATGCCAACAAAGGGCACAGGAAAAGAAGACAAACTCTGCGGCTGATTACCTGCTGGGATGACAATCAACTGGCCTAAAAGTACGAAGCACTTAATTACAAATTCCAGAGCAGGGCAAAAGTCAAACGCTGGCAACAAAGGATAAAGAATTAAGGATATGAATTGCCAGCTCAATGATTCCACTGAGCAGCTGCTGTCCTGCAGGCTCTGATTAGTTGGCTCAACAAAAAAAAAAAGAAAAACTAAAGAGAACAAAGCTTCATTATGTACGAGTTGTTGTTGTTGTTGTAGTTGTGGGCCTGGTAACGTAATGAAGTCGCCAGCGCCGGGAAACGCTTCGTTTAAGCGAGCGCCTCAAATTATGCAACAAATACGTAAGCAGCAGCATCTACTTGCATATGCAGCGGTGCAGAGGGGTGGCGGGGCTGCAGAGGAAGGAATAAAATAAATGTGCATATGAATTTTGAAGAAACGGCAAAGGATACGCGCCTGCTGCCTGCTGCCTGCCAATGCAAAAGTGCACTTACTTACCAACACTAACACACACACATGCACACACATGCACACACACGCACATGCACATACAGAGTAAATTTATGCTTGTGTTAAAGTTTCTGGTGCGTGTGTTGGCCAAAAGTTTGTGCGCAAAAACTTGAGCAGCAGCAGCTGCGAAAATGTTCAGCACTCACACAAATTAAATAACAATTTTCTCTCACAATTTCGCAACGTTTTCGCTTTGGCTTTGGCTTTTCCGTTGCGTTTCCTTAACGTTTTTCTCTGCTCTAACTCCACATTTCTTTTTCTTTCTTTTTTTTTTGTCGTTAACTTTATGTGGGCGTTTGTGTTGACAATGTGTGTGGGTGTGGCTAAGTCTGCATATGTTAACTGGCTGCTTGCAAAAGTGGCTCAGTAGACTTTGTCGCTACTTTTTGGCCCCCTTTTTGGTTGCTCACCACGCTTGGCAACATTCTGTTGGCGTTTTGTTTACATTTTATTTTAAGTAATTTAACCAAATGCAGCAAAGTTGCCTCTTTTTCTACTTTTTTTTTACTAACTTAAAAGTTACACAGCTCGAAGAGAGAATTTTTTATTAGCTCTAAAGTGCAGTTTAATGAAGATATTTTTGGTTTCCTCATGTCTCTCAGTCCGTACGACTCAGCTGTCGCCACAATTTAATGCACAGAACTCTAACCTGAATGCTATAGTTTTGCAATGTGCAAAAAAATATCTATAAGATCTATCTCTAAAATCGAACCTTATCGAGTTAGATCCTATTTATTTGGCTTGAGTAGAAACAGACACGCAGACACAGATGCACCAACCAGCAAGGCTCAGCTCGTCACTCTGATCAGTCATGTAAATACCATTTGGGATCTGAATTTAATCCAGTTTTTAAGATTTTGTGACAAGTGCACATAAAAGGGGTATACGAGAAATATCTCTAAGCTTTATTTCAAATATATCTGGTTTGTTTGCTTTGTGTTTACAACTTATTTGGCAATTATTTGAGGAGATTTGACCCATTTTTATCTCCTTTCGCATTATCACAAATTTGATTGTCTCTTTTCATGTTATCGATAATTCTTATCGGGACCTACCTTTAATTAATATAAATATATAATTTTAGTTCCTAGTTTGAAGCTTTAAAAAACCTTTCACCAAATAAACGACCTTTGATCAAGCATTTCAATTTATGAGCGATGCAACTTGTAAAAGGGTCGTTAAAGTTTCAACCGATCGTCAGAAATTTAAGTCTATATAAGCCCCATTTTCTTCTCAGTATGGTTGTATTGACCGAAAAGTGTGCCACAAATTTTAAGCGTATTTGTATAAAGATCTTGCAAATTAGTTTGAGCCGGAAACTCCAACATTTTGACCAAGCATGGGTGTATTTATCGAAACGTGTGAAATATTTCTCAACTTAGTTCGCACCAAGATCTTTGAAAATGAGTTATTAAATATGGGTATTTATTTATTATTTCTTTTATGTTCTAGTTGTCTTTTTAATCGTCTTTCTTAATTTGTTTGGTTTTAATTGCATCATAGTTAACGCTATAATTTAGTGTATAATTTAGTGCTTATCACATGCGTAAATTTATAAATTTTATACGCTCTCATAACAGCAGCAACTGCCAACAATTGGTCTAGAGTTTCTCACTTGTGATGCTTCAACTTCGTCGTCTTCTTCTTCTGCAATCGACCATTATAAAAGAACCGGAAACTTTGTAGACTAAGAAACTTGCTCGACTTTTGCTTGGCAGTTCCTTAGTTTGTGCTTTTTTCTTTGTATTTTGTTTAATTTTAGAAGCAAACACAAATACGAGGCGAACTACAGGTACAAGTACTAGTACAAGTACAGTGAAGCCATTTACCCCAGGGGGCTAACGTACACACAAATTCTGACTTGTCTGATTCGCTCTCCTCTCCCTTCACACTCTTTCCGTAGTAAATTTAATCTATTGTTGTGTATGTTGGTTCCTCGCGCGTTTACAGGTTTTATCTGACTTATTTGCTACCTTTTCACCTGCTGTCTCTGGCATATCCCATATCCTGGCGTCTTTGACTCCAGATACTACGGCTGCCAGGCAATCCTTTCTGGCTGCCACTTGATAAATATGACTATTTTACCTTGCCAGTGCGAGTTCCCCTCTCCGCTCTGCGTCTTGCTTAGTTGTTTATTTGCGTAAAGCGTTAGTAGCAACGCCTCTGTCATCTTTTACCGACTCTTCCTGTCGAGTCCTGGTCCGGACTCCCGACAGCGTATTTTGTTTATACAGCACTCAATTTCGCAGTTTTAATGACAAAATGTCTTACCTTCAAATTGCATGCGATAGAGCATTATAAGTGTGTGTGTGTGTGTGCGTCCATATGTTGTTCACTCCATACAATCACTTCTCTTTCGTCCCTCTCCTTCTTTTTGACGCCCACTTGAGCGACTTTGTTTGATTGCTTTGGCCGCAGCTCGGGCGCAATTGTGAGCTGCCATGTTTGTATTGCACTCGAGGGTTCTAAGCATGGGCTGCCGGACCTGCTGCTGTCAGCTGCCAGCCGCTTAACCCACAAGTTGTCAGAGAAGAGGGGCATTGGAGGTGGCAGCAACCAGCACTTGGCAAGTTTTATTGTCTCAGTGTCCACTTAACTTTCGCCTGAAGACAACTTAATGCTGTCCCGCATTGAAATGAGAGGGAGAGACAGAGAGAGAAAGAGAGAGAGAGAGAGCTAGGGGAATTGTGCAGCTTGGAGCTGACAATATGAAATCAAAGCTATTCGCATTTTCTTTAATTTCCGGTCGTATGATTTTCCACTTTTTTCCAAAGAATTCAAACAGCAACGTGTCCGTATTCAGCTACAGCTGAACATTTTATTCATGGCGTATACGTAATTTCTCAATGCCTGAGCGAGAACTGATTGGAATTGGCTCTGCCTTTGCCGAGTCATCAATCATGCGTCGTTTTTCCACACGCCCAGGCAAAGATTTGACAAGTGTCAATGCGACAAGATAGAGCGCAGAGCACAAGAGACAGACAGAGACAAAGAGAAGCAGAGATAGAGCGGGAGAGAGAGCGCGAAAGGGAGAAGAGTCTTTGGGTAACTTTTCGAAAATCACATGCAAAGTAAAATGTCGAAGTTTTGACAGGCTGCGTAGGGTTGGGGAGGAAGAAAAAAATTCACACAAAGCTGAGATGCAAAAGTTTTCATTTGTTTTGCAACGTGCTGAAAACTGCTGTCAAAGTTTTTAATGTTTTTAACTCGCTGCTGTCACCTGCCAAAGCCCCAAAAGTAGGCTACATAAACTGCGAGCCAGTCGGCGCTGAAACAGTTGTCCCATTCGGACTATAAATTACACTTGGCGAAATTAGTTAGCACATTCGGGGCAAAAATCTGTACCTGATCAAACGCTTTGTGTTTATTTTCTTAGAAATATATACTTTACGTATTATAAAACAAATTTCACCAAATAAGAATTTATTTAGAGCTTCTTTTGCTGTTTACATGCCTGAAGCAGGACTCCTTAATATAGCAGGCTTTTAACTTTACAGTTTATAGAAAGTGTGCTTTATCTTTTCTTTAAGTGTAGGTATAACCGAAATAATTGAAAAGGAATTCAATTCGCATTAAAGATATATTTAAAAACAATTCAAAATGAATTTTCACAATTTTAAGAGCTACCTGAAATATTAGAAAAGGGTAGGATATGCTGAGAGAATTTATAAACAAATTGAACACTCCTAATCGATACTTAAACCAGGAACATTGCATTGGAAATTATATGCTGCCTGCACCCAGAACATAAATCATATTAAGGCGTCTCTCGTTCAGATGGGAGTTCATATTATACTACTATTTCCACATAATCGAAACGCTATGCAGCTGAGTTCACATTTGACTTACCCTTGACGGAAACGATGACACTTTGAAGCACTTCGAGCTTCTTCTTGTTGGCCAGAGGTTGGCCCACGCACTTGTAGGTGCCTGCATCCTGGTACATGACATCCTTGAGTGAGAATTGACCCGTCGGCAACGAGCTGCCGTAGCCTAGGCCGCGCAGACGTGCTGAAACTGGATCCAAGTGTGACCAACAGCCCAGGGAGCCTACATTAAAGCAGAGAAAACATTAAAGTCGTTGCATAATTCGACTTGGTGCCATTTCTAATTTAATTAATTGACTATGCCAGGGCACGCAAGTTTTAATTTCTTTAATTGACGCCGAAGTCGTAAACAACAAAAAGCTTCCACTGCCATTTGTCAAACAGAGGATACCTCCCACAACCTCCTTACACCCCTGAACCTAACAGATATTTCGATTGTGCCGTCGTTTGTTGACTGCCTAAAAGTGAGCAAAGTAAATTGCACGTATAATTAATTTTCAATTGTGCTAATTAATGAATAGAGCTCCGTACGGCGATTGCCAGCGCAATCTCTTCGATCTGTGCCTCAATTAGTGGAACGAAATCTAAAATGTAATTAGATACCCGACGCATCTTTCAGTGGAGCTCATTTCTTCATTGTCAGCGATTGTACTCAATTGCTTTGATGTTCTAAAAAAAATAAATATCAACGCGCCGAAGGCTAAATACCCTTGTTGACATATATAAGGTGAATTTAAAAACTCGTAATTGTTGAGTTTGTTAAATATATCTTTAAGAGCAGACAATATTACAGACGCTTCTTTCTGTAAAGCTGATATGGTGGTGGAATGTCTTATTTTGCTTATATATGGAGCATAATGCAATTCAATAAATGTCGAATTCGGTCAAGATATCTTGCTAAACAAATATGTAAGTTTTTCAAACGAGAACCTAATTTTCACGACAAGTTATGAACACTCTCTACAAGTGTATAAAAGTATTGCTTATACCTTCTAGAGGTAGACAAGGGGAAGTAAATATATTGTTTGCCTGCCAAGCTTTTAATGGGATGTACGTTTATTTTACATTTAGGGAAAAGGAGATAAATAAGACAATAAATATTCGCTAATAACATAGGCCTAAATAAAGTTATTGTTCCGCCTTATTAACTACATATGTATATAAAAAATAAATAAATGGACATGCATTTGCGGCAAAATTCAAAGATAGAATTTACAAATTTGTCATCATTTTTGTGGTGATATCTATGTATTTTCATAATTTTGGAAGCCTATTTCACTAACACAGAGTATCCTTTTTTTATACTTTTGTTGCCGCAAGCTTTAGAGTATGCTATAAAATTGCCATACCTTGTGGACACTGCAGTGTGACGGCGCCGCCAAGCTGCACCTCAAGTTGCCCCTTGTTGGGATTATGAGAGGCAGCCGCCACGGAGACATCCTGATCATCCGGTTCCGAAGTGACATCCACCGAATCATCTGTAAATATTGAGAGAAAAAGCATGGGAAAATGTGTGAAAATTTATAAATATTTAAAGAGTTTCGCTGTGGCACACATGTGCAGGGGCATAAAATATGATAAGCTTGTCAGCAATTGTCAAATGTGACAATATTTCAATGACAAGAAACGCTGGGGATGGTAAGATGGTGAGGAGTTGGATGTTGGCAGTTCTTAAGCAAAACAAATTGCGTGCCGCCTTGACAGGATGTGGGCGACACTTAGGTGGCACTGAAGAGCACCTGAGTCATGCTGCCGGTAGCTGACTGAAAGCTGCACAATGAGTTGGCACTTCCGATTTGGCGTGATTTGACCGACTATTGAAGTTCAGCGGTTCAGTTGAACTAAAAGTGAACATCGCTGAGCAGGCAACTGGAAAATTGACTGAACTTCACGCAGCAACAGCAGCACGAACTCATAAATAAATACTAAGAATAAGAATAAGAAGCACGATAAGCAAAAGACATTACGATGCTTCATTCTAATTTCGTTGCGAGCAGAAAATGACATCAAATTTATGCGACATATTCGCATATTTTGTGCTTAACAGGGGAAACTCGAAACTTAGGACTGGGAACAGGAAACTGGGAGCCGGCAACTGCGGGAGCTGTGTGGTGTTTGTGGTTTGGAGCTGAGTGCGTGTCGTGTTTGCAGTCGTGACACGAATAAACAGAATGGAAAACTATTTATTATTTTAAAATGAGTTATCAACACAATGTCCGATATATTTTCTATCGTCAAAACAGGCACGCAAGTTTGGCGGTGGGTCAGCTTAATAGAGATTCAAAAAAATCTTTTTCAATAGAATATTGCTTTGGTGAAAAGTAAAATACAGCATAACAATCACTCAATACGAACAAATTAGGGCTCTCGACATCCCATGTCAAAAGTCAAACTATAAAGCTTCAATGGTATAATAGCAAGAATATAGCCAACTTATCGTCGAAGCGACAATATATTTGATGCACCAGACATCTCTTTTATCAATGTGGTCACCATTTTAGCCTTATTCAGTAATGGTTACATTCTGTGGCTCGTGTTATTTTCGTGCCGTGCTTAAAATAATCTGTGCAGGCATCTCTTGTGTGGTGTGCTTTAAATTTCAGGCTGCCTTTGTGTCACATACTTTATGGCGCTGTTCATATTACATATAAATTACAATTTGCGTTGACGTGCGCCTAAAAGTATGCAGCGTGGGCTTTTGTTTGAGAACGGATATCATAACAATAAGTTGCCCAAGTGGATGCCTGGGCAAAAATCATGACAAAGGACCCCAGGCAAATTGTCTGCTTGTGTGTGTGTGAATGTGTGTGAGTGCGTGTGTGTGTGGCAAGGGCTCTGGGCGCACGTAAGTCTTACAAAGTGTCGACTACTTATCAAGGCCGCAATTCGCTGGCATTTCAAATGTCTGGCAATTTGAGGTTGCACCTCAAAGCGCTCATAAAATTAGCCCTCGCCGCATCGCCCCCAACCCCTGCTTACCCAAACGGTCGCACAATTAACAAAAACTACTAATTACAGTCAGCGGCCGGCGAGTTAAACGAATCCCTTTACAGAAACGCACCCCAGACACACATTAAAGAAGTGGCGAAACCCTTAAAGTTCCATTGCTTGAGCTGAGATTTGCACAAAGAGGCGAGGTGAGCACTCGAAACGCCAAAGTAATAATTAATTGTAAGCTCATTTCGAGCCGAGAGCCTTCGTCGCATGTCAATCAGTTGGCGTTGGACCTGGGAGTGAAACAACCCCGGACGCGGTCAGCAACCCCTGCGAGTTTTATTGCTGACAATAGCGCAAAATGTTGTCTGCGGGGTGTTGAAGAGCCAGGAAGCCGCGAAGGCGGTTAGGGGGCAGAGGCGTGTTGCTTAGTCAAAATCACGTAGTTATAAACATTTTTTATTGCTCGAGAACAAAAAAATATAAAAGACAAAGCGACGCTGCGCAAATTGACAAGTGAAAACTGGGGACAGAGAATGAATGCGAATTCCCTATCTCCCCTCCCTCATTTTCTCTGGGCTGTCTATAAAATGTCTAATGAGCTCAGCTCGACTGACAGACATTTGTCAATGGACATTGCTCGCGGCCTGCTCGAAGCCGCCTCTGATAAGAACTTGAGACTGCAAATTGTAAAATGGAAACTGGGAACTCGTCGCAATGGGGTGCGAGTTTGCTGTTGAGGGCCGTAATTTGAAAAGGAAAGCATTTGATATATTATGAAATTAGATAATAGTTAGGGGTGGCAATCAAACGGAAAAGCCAGGATGTAATAAGATCAGATAAGATATAGCATCAGAAGATTATGTTTTGAGGCTCATATGACACTTATTTGAAAAATGTTTACGCTTTTGTAAAGGAACAATATTAAAAAAATAAAATAAAATTATATTAAGTGTCTAGACCTTTTAAGAATTATATAAAAACTGGTGTTCAGGAAATCGTTTGAGTCAACAATTCAAATATTTATGCGAAGTCTCGGAAGAAAGCCAACTCCAGGACAATAGAATGTTCCATAGCGTTTTAATTGTTGCACTTATTGAGCTTTTGAACACTGAAACGATTATAATTCTTATATTCGCTAAAAACACAGATGAGCCCTGTAAAGCAAAGAGCTATTACTCTGACTCTTGCGATTCAATTGACATATAATGAGGAATATATCTTTTACGATCCTAATTGCTTCAGACTTGAGTATTATAATTATAATACAATTAAATAATAATTATAATTATTTGAATCAGTGGAACAGTCAAAAACCTTTATTTGGAGCTTCAAAATAAATGCATACTAAATAAGCTGATCTCAAACATTTTAAGTAATTTCTAAAGTTCTTTTAGCTCTTTATTCACTCTCTATTTAAGCCAAACACTTCAGACTAGAAGTTTTCACACAACTTTATTCAACATTTTCTCAAGTTCCCCACTTCACATTAACCCACCCACTGCTAGCTGCCCACTACCCACACACACACACATGGAATAACATAATTCCCAGCATTTGTTCAACACATATTTTGTTCGATGGACATTCATAGGAATGAAGCCCACCCACAATCGAAAGGAGGAGAAAAGAAAAGCAAATAAACAAAAGCAAACAAATGTGCATCAAGTAAGGTCCATATGTCATTATAGATGAGGGGGTTATTGGGTCGGATTGATGGGTCGGCGAAGACTCGTGAATGTCTTCCACATGGCATATAAATCCGGAGCAGAACAACAGAACGGAAACAAATATGAAGAGCAAACAACAAACACTAATGCAAATAAGAGGCATCAATATGCCAGACAAAGAGGATAAGAGTGTGAGAGAAAGTGAACGAAAGAGGCAGAGGGATACAGCATATTTCAGGCTATAGACACACAAGGGGTAGCAGGCGTTGGCGGGTTCTAGTGGGTCTCGCCACCAATCATTAATCATAAAGCATCATCATCAGCATGTTGGCGTTGGCTTCAAGTAGTGCCACTCCGCACAACACCGCCCCACCGCGCACCACCACGCCCCGCCTCGGGTAGCCTGAAGGACTGTCAAGTGCGTTGGGTATGGGCTGCGCCGCCTGCCAAATGCAGGCCAGTCACAGCAACCCGAAAATCCGCAACCGGAATCCGCACTCTGCTTAAGCAGTCAGACAGAGTGTATCAGGCACATCAATATGTCCATACACACACACACACACACTCACTGCTGATTGAGTGTGGCTCGACTCATAAATCCTTCAAAGCGGCCAAACGCGCATTTGCTGTCGCTTACACATATTGAAAAGTTATTAACTTGTTTTCGTACGCATTTCGCTTTCGTCTTGGTCAAAATTGGGCTTGGTAAATACTACCTATATGTATAGATAGATAGTTATATATAAGCTACTTTTCAGTTTTCATTAGCAGCACGTTTCATTTTCGTTTTGCGTCTACAAAAATGCATCATCATATTTATTCATGAATATGAAGCTGCAGCAGCAGCAGAGACTAAGGCAGCAGCAGAGGCAGCAAAGGCAGCAATCAGCTTAACTTACAAGCTTCATAAACAACGAGCACGGGTGGGTGGTGGTTGTTGGTGGTGCATGCCTCGTGAAGTGGAAGCGAATGCGCTCTGTGGTGGGTGCATTTGATTGCGTTTGTGTCTTGGTTATAAATTTTAATTTTTTTGCGCAGTTTGAGCTTGTATAGAATTTTTCACTATTTTTAGTAGAATATAAAGAATGTATATTTTTTCAGCTGCTGCAGATGCAGCGAGGGTGTGTGGTGGGTGGTTGGTGGGGTTGCGTTTATAGTCTACGCGATTAATTTACAATGAGCTGAATTTGAAGATGATTGCTCTGGATGTGATGTGCACAGCAAAAAGTTAAATAAAAAAGCATAATAAACAAGCGCAAGGAACGCGCATGAAGATTGGATATGAAGATGAAGTTATAAATAAGCGAGAACATAAAGCGAAAGTCATTCAAAAGATATTTAAATGAAACTGAGTGTATGCGAGAGATGAAAGAGAAACTGGAAAAGTGCTTAAGACTATATAAACAATTAAAGAACAGTTTAATAAATCACAAAAAAATGGTCAAAAACAAAGAAAGAACAATCGTTAAATACATATATTTTTTTGATAAATCTAATTTTTGAAAAAATTTATATTTTTTAAGATACAGCAGTAGATGTACATTATATTTTTTCCCAACATTTGGCTCATCGAATAATATCGATTTTAAGACTTTGAGATTAGACAATATATCCCTTGCTTAATTCGAAAGCTTAAAATAAAATAAAAAATCAAGCAATCGAGATTTCCTAAACACATTTTAAAGTTATAAAAATATAATTTTAACACTAATTCCCGCTTATTTCAGACCATAAAAATTTCAAGATTATTATCCTCAATGAGTTTTTAATATTTTTGTAACTTGCCGGCCAGACGGAACGAATGCAAAAAAAAAGAAAGAAAACCCAAATGAGTTTTGGGTTTCATTTGAAGCCAAATAAAAACAAGTCAAATA